TCCCTGTTTTTGCTGGTTTTTCGAGTATTTGCCCCTAAAACTTTTCAAAACTTGGCTTTGAATCCTTTCTTTTACATGATTCTGCTTGGAAAACTAATTCCGCACATGACTGAGTGCATTTAGGGTTTGTAGTGTCGTTACTAGATCCCTTGAGGCCGACAACTGGAACCAGCCTTCTATTAACATTCTACAGTAGAATAGCTTTTTCTCAGAGAAATCTTCATTGTCTTTGATTATTAATGTGATATTTGGCATCAGCATCAAATTCCGCATCTGATGATGGTTAATTTCAGAAAATTCTAAAACAAACGTTTTCGACAGTCTTGGGGTCCCCTACAGGCGCAAAAATTACAGGCAAAAATGACAGTCATTTTTCGATAGAAAAAAAATACTTCATTTTACTCAGAATTCAATGCTGATTCCGAATATGTAATTTTTTTTCAAAAATATTTTGGGCGAATAAATGACCTTATCGATACTTGTCCTTTCAAGGAAAAATCAAGCCTCAAGCAATATTTGCCTCTAAAACCAATAAAAAGAGGGTATAAAGTTTGGTGTTTATGTGATTCAATCGCTGGTTACTTATTCAACTATCAAATCTATTTAGGAGAAGAAGAAACTAGTGAAAGAGAAATGCCTTTGGACGAACGCGCTGTTTTCGATCTTACTTGTGGTCATAATTTTGAAGAAAAAAATCTATATTTCGATAACTTTTTCACTTCTCTTGATTTATTAGAAAAGCTAAAATTACAGAACATAAAGGCCAGTGGATCGATTAGACCAGATCTGGCAGGTATTCCGTCAAAGTTTGCCAAGAAAGATAAAATGGAACGAGGGGATTACAAATCAATGATTATGTTGAACAGCATTTTCTTCATATGGATGGATACGAAACACATTTTTTTGACTTCAAATTATCATAAAAGCAACAAAGTTGTTCCGATTTTTCGCCGGTTGAAAAATGGTCATGTATTACAATTAACTGTCCAAAAGCAATAACAGATTTTAATCAGTTTGTACATGGAGTTGATCAACTCAATCAAAGGATATCCTGCTACAAGCTTGATCGCAAGTCAAAAAGAAATTGGCTTCGAATTTTTATTTATTTTCTAAATGTATTTATTTCCAACTCATTTAATTGCTGTAATCAATTAGCTCAGGACAAATTAACATACTTAAACTACATGGTTCCAGTGGCGTAGTCTCTCTGCTTCGACAATGTAAGAATGAGTCGTGGAAGACCTTCTTCTGAAAAGAAGTCGAAACTAGCATCACAAAAAATTGTCCTTGATTTTGACAATGAAATACGTTTGTCCGTGAAAGGAAAAAGAAGAAGATGTGCTTATTGTAGCACCAAGGAAGCAGATTTTCGATTCAACATCTAGTGCTTTAGTTGCAAATTGCCATTTTGTTTAAAAGATGAAAAAATTGTTTTTTTGATTATCATAAGATTTTTATTTAACCATTTTGAGTTAAAATAAAATATAAAGATTGAAAAATGTTTTCTCAATTACAAAGAAAATTCCATTCACAAAGAATTAATTCAAATTTACGAAGCGTTAGTAACAAATTATATTCGCGCATCTAAAGTTTCATACGAGGTTGCAGGTGTGAGTGAAATGTGGGTAACGGGTTTCCGTATTTCTATTTATCTAAAACCTACACTCACTCACGCCCAATACACAGTATCTAGATAATATCAACGTAGAATCTATTGGCTGTATTTTTACTGGGACCACTTATGCTGAGCCAAAACGAAAGTGTATATGTGTTGCCTGTCACTGTCGCAAATGTTTGAGCGATAAAGTCGATACCACCGTTGCAGGTATCCGTATAGCAAATACCCGTAGAGTTAAGGCACTTGGAACCAGATTCCATCGAGGTGGGATTGTTTTTACACGTAGATGTGCACAATAATACCCAATCTACGGGTGTTATGGCTGAGCTTTCAAAACTTGGATTTCTCAACAACTCCCTACTTGAGTCATTTTGAGCAACAATAGATATTGAGTCCATAAGGTAATCACGATTATTAGTACTTTCAAATCCAAACATGATGATATGCGATGTGTTCTTCGCCGTAAAGTTGTATTGATATCGAGTCCAACCAGATTGCTGATTTGCAGTCAGATTCATCGCATTTCCTACTCCGACTGCTGTGCAATTCGATGCTGCAATATACATAACGAATGACTAATAAGATTCGGAGTAATTATAACTTACGTGTTGCCATACTAGTTGTTGTGCTTGTACTTGTCGTGCTCGTTACTGTAGTTGTAGTTTTAGTTGTTGTTGTTGTTGTTGTTGTTGTTATTGTTGTTGTTGTTGTTGTTGTTGTTGTTGTTGTTGTTGTTGTTGTTGTTGTTGTTGTTGTTGTTGTTGTTGTTGTTGTTGTTGTTGTTGTTTCTGTAGTTGTTGTTGTGGTTGTTGTTTCTGTTGTGGTTGTTGTTTCTGTTGTAGTTGTTGTTTCTGTTGTTGTTGTTGTCGTTGTTGTGGTTGTTGTGTCTGTTGTGGTTGTTGTGTCTGTTGTGGTTGTTGTTTCTGTTGTGGCTGTTGTTTCTGTTGTTGTCGCAGCTGAGATATTGGCTGATGTAATACTGGCTGTTGTGGATGCTATGCCAGCCACTGATGTAGTACTTGCTGATGATGTAGTGTTTGCCGCTGATATAGTACTTGTTGATGGTGTAATGTTTGCCACTGATGTAGTATTTGCTGCTGATGTAGTATTTGCCGTTGATATAGTATTTGTTGATGATGTAGTGTTTGCCGCTGATATAGTACTTGTTGATGATGTAATGTTTGCCACTGATGTAGTATTTGCTGATGATGTAGTGTTTGCCGTTGATATAGTATTTGTTGATGATGTAGTGTTTGCCGCTGATATAGTACCTGTCGTTATGGCAAGAAACGTTAGAATCAATATTTCTTAGCTTTCTACCCTGTAATCATCAAAAATAGGATTTTATAGGTAGCATAAAATGAAACTCTATTAAATCGAGAAATACTGTTATGTTTGTAATTTGTAAGACTACGCACAAAATCAATTAATGACAGAGGCGTGTCGTAGTCAATTTTTGGGCCATCACTAGTAGATGACTGTGGGTTCACGTTTTTGTGAAGCCGAATTTATGAAAAGCTAAAGTTTTGGATCTGGACTTAAATTCAATTGTAAAAAAAGATTCAATTTTAAGCACAGATCCTGCCCAGACCCAGCAGGCAAACATGGACATCCGAGTTTTTGTCTAGTAATATCTACCTTGATCTATGTACATAAACAAGTGAATGATCAAGATTTCAACTAAGGAAATGGAAACAACTTCCCAGACATTTTTCTATCGATATAAATAGAAAAATTTCTACGAACTTTTTTCCATATATTATGCCATAAGATGCAGCGTGAAAAGCTCTACAACTTTCAAAGAATAATTATTAAGGCCTCCGCTGCTCTGAAAAAGTCAATTTTTGTCAGAAATTTGGAAATTGGAATAAATATATGGAAATATAGCCCGTCTTCAGATCTTTCAGAAACGACGATAATTTTTACCTGTCATCTTATTTTTTCCAAAAATTTTTCAAGATTTTCGTCACCACCTATTCGAAAAATATGCTGTTTTTACTAAATAAGTGAAAATGTTTTTCGTTTTTTCTCATTTTATGATTGTTTGATTTTGTGGTCAAGAATTCTTGGAGGATCTTCAATCTATATATGTAATTTTCTTTCATTTGAACGTGCACGTCAAGATGAAGGGCACCATAGAATCTCTTTTTTAAATTAAGCTTTATTTTTATTATATATATCAGAGAAGTCCATCGCGGCTGAAAACCTGCCGCTGCCGCGCAGCTGTGGTATAAAATTGAAAGCAGCCGCCCGCTGTACTATATAAAATACATGTTGCCGCGGTGCTTCTGCATCTCAACATACTAAAAACATTGCCGTGGTTGCAGCGATATTTCAAGAAAAGGTTACAGCACCGCTACTACCATTACATGAAGAAAAAATGCCAGTTGTCGGTCTACAATAGTCATGCAGTCTGGTTTTCACTCGAAATCAATGAGGAATAACGGTTTAGATGCTATAGTAACAAATAACTTCTAAGTATATATAGAACAAGTATAGATTCTGAGATCACATTGACTATTTAAGTTCTTCATGGAACAACGAAAGAATCTTAAGGAAATGGTAGCTTTTATTGGTCTCCGCACTTTAAAATCACCGTAAAATGCAACATTTAGAAAAAGAATTTAATTTGTCTACTTTATGTGAGAGACTAGTTTAATTTCAGCTGTGAAGCTAGAAATTTTTTAGAATTATAGAGTAAATTACTGCAAAAAAATCGTGCCGCGGTGGCTAAAAGAATGAAAAGCCGCTGCCGCGACACCGTTATGAATGATCTGCCGCGCCGCGCTAATCTATAAAAAAAATCTGCCGCTGCCGCGCCGCCAACCGCGGCAGCGGAGCGATGGACATCTCTGATATATACAGACAGTTACGTAACTAGACACTCATTCTTGGCGCGTTTTTTGAGTCATTAAACTTGTGATCCCCTTTCTTCTCTAAAAAAGTAGGAATTTAAAAAAGAAGTCTCTGTGGTGCACTGCATCCTGACATGCTCTTTCTAAGGAAAAAAATTAAGGATATGGCACGAGCCTGGACTGAGAAATTTCGAACGCAAAGTGAGCTATTTTTGACCTTTACTTGGTGAATATCTAGCGCAAACGTCATGGTATAGAGCTGAA